CTGATATATATACATCTTCTGATGATAGAACTACTTTAAACTCTCCTCTCTCTATCAATTCACCTTATTCTAGGCTGGATGATGTGACTTTCCCTAATAGTTTGTGAACATTTAATTTGTCCTGCTCATATTAATCTCTCTAGTACAATATTTGTCACACATAGCACTGTACATACTACTACTCCTGGTATAGTATCTATTTCACCCAACTCTGACCCTATGTCACAATATAGCCACCCTTTTTCCAATAGTCCAAACCCTATAGTGTCTCAGTCTTCACATATGCAACTTTTACATATCAGTTCTACTCTTCCACGTATGTTTTAAACTTCTTTACACAATACTTAACACATTCCTTTTAACACTCAACAAGAGTTTCCCACCCATCTAACTACTTACCTGATTTTCATTGACGCAATAGATCATCTTCTTAAAATCATAACATATTGTTTATCCATTATCTTCAACTCTCTCATATAACAAATGTTGCTCTACATATAAGCATTTATGTTGCACCATATCTTCTCATATTGATCATTCTGCAGTTTTATTTACAAATTTACCTGTCAAAAAAATATCTACGAAAACTTTAGCAGAGAACTAATAACAACCAGAAAAATTGCAGGAGATCTATTTTCTGCGGATTTTTAACTTCTTTTTTTTTTCATGAAACAAATTATTTTTGGTAGTATACCAAACTCAAGTACTTGTTAAAAAAATTATATATGAGATTGAATCATTTAAATTCTCTTATTAGAGGTTGCACAATTATGAATGGTATATTATTAAGCAACATTCTTATTGTTGTAATTAAAACAAAAGCAATTCTTCTTGAACTCGCAACTTCGTATTTTTCAAAGCTTTTATTTTCAACGGTGATAGATGTAATGTTCCTTGAAAAAAAATCTAAATAAACATTTAGATTATTTTACGACTTAAGATTTTATATATCATAAGTGAGTTAATAAAGATAAATAATAAATGAATATATATTTCAAAAAGCATGTTAGTTCCATATCATGACACTTTGATACTCTAAACATGATATTGTTATGTTGACAATTCATTCAACAAGCTTTTTGATGGTGATCATTTTACAATACCAACATGCAAAGTTTATAGTTGATGGCAAATGGACCATTTTTAAATATACTATATGAATAGAAAGAAACTAATTGAAATCTTAGAGAATAAAAGAAAGTAATTAGACTAAAGACTAAAAACATATTATCTTAAAACTAATTGAAATCTTAGAGAATAAAAGAAAGTAATTAGACTAATTAAAGACTAAAAACATATTATCTTAAATATATCATCCTTATGGTTTTTATGTTTGGAAATATTTACGTCGAGACTTTTACAATCAACTTCATCCTTATCGTTAAAGTAATGTTTTAAAAATAGATCGGATTGGCCTATTTAATTGGTTTGATCAAAACTCAGAGATGAATTCGATTAGATCAATTTTTTAAAATTATTAGTGAATAAAAAATAGAGTAAAATTGAAAAAATCGAGTTGTACTGTCTAAAATCATTTGAATTAAAAAACTGTAGTCGATTTTTATAAAAACTGTCTAGTACAAAAAAATTACATCAAATTGACCATTATTTTAGTTTTTTTATTTTTAATATATTAATATTAAAACTTAACATACATTCCTCAATTATAAAAAAAAAATATAATTTGTTTTCTTTAGCACCATACAAACTTTTAACCACATTTCATCATCATCATGTCGTCCCTTTAAAACATAGTAATGATATTCAATTTAATATTGATTGTCGTTCAAGTCAATATTTGTTGTTGTTAATTAAGACTTATTTGTCATAGTTCAACTTAAATTCAATTTTTTGTTGTTTAATGAAGTATATTACATTACTTATATTTTGATGTTTTTAAATTATTTAATTTAATTTAGATATTTTTAATTATTTGAACTTTATTTTAATTATTATATTCTATTATTTTAATTTTGATTTGAATTAGTTTGATTTATTTTATTGTAATTTTTTATTTTGGTCAAAATATTCTTAAATAATGGTTAAAATGAAGTGTAAAATTATATTATGTTATGTATTATCGGATATGTCCTATGTTTAGCAATTCTAAACAACCTCCAAATAATATTTAATATCAATATCAATGTTTATGGTTAATTCTCAATTCTTATCTAAATCAATCTTTCTATTTTGGTAGATAAGTCACATAATTCATATTATTGGAGAAAAAATCATCTAAAAAGACTTAATCTAAAAAAATTAGTTATTCATTCTTAAGGGATTCACGGCCAATATAATAAAAACATATTAATTAAACCTTACAAATGATAAAAACATATTAATTAAACGTTACAAATGATTAAGCATGAATTCTTAATGATGTTTTTGCCTTTGGCACATTGTGTTTTCTTCATATGCTGATTTTGTTCTTTCCATGCCCAAATGGTCCAACTTTGTTGTATATGGGTGGCGTGTGTTTGCTTCTTAGAAAAACAAGGCTCGAAGAGTTGTCATTTGGACACGCACACATGGTGAAAAAAAAATCTATTTTTCATCCATCTTAACCTTTCCTCCACATACAATGGAAACAGAAATGAGTCATATGAATAGTACAATAGCAAGTATAAATCTAACAATAGCTAAGTTAGCAATGAAATATGAGAGAAATTATGTTTGAGGTCATCGACTTGATCAAGAATAACAAGAGAATCAATGTCTTTGTACTAGCAGAACTAGTGCTTTAAATATCTTCAAGACTTAATACATGTTTTAATCCTTTAATTTAATTTAATATTCCACTTTAGTTCCTTAAATAAAAAAATATTACAAGTTAATCACTTAACTTCACTTCGGTTATCCTCCTATTTAGTTTCTTCTGTCAATTTATGACAAAAAAAACTTAAAGTTTCTTCTGTCAATTTATGACAAAAAAAACTTTAAGTTTTGGTGACGTGGTGTGACAGCAAGGTCATTTGTACAAATATGAGTCAACATATGTAGTTAAAAACAGATACATTGTTTAAACAGTAGAGATTTTATTTTCGGGTGAACCCCGCAGTGAAGTCTAAACAATGATTTAGTTTTTAACTACATATGTTAACTCAAATTTGTATTAATGGCTTCGCTATCACACCACGCTACTACAATTTAACATTTTTTTGCCATAAATTTACGAAAGAACGAAATAAGGTAACATAAATGAAGTTAAAAAACTAACTTATAACATTTTTTAGTTAAGGAATTAAAGTGAAACATTAAATTAAGTCAAGGAAAACACTTATTACTTAACATTAAACACTTTTTTTTTTTTGGAGATGTATTTCTGGAATAATTTTATTTGTAAAATTTAAGTGTGACTCAAAAGCAAACTGAATGTATGTATTGAAATACGTTTGAAAATATATTTTCAAAAATTAAAGGCATTTTTAAAATTTTGCATAGTATCTAAGAAACAAATAAAAAACAAATAAGATATAATAAAAAATGTTCATTGTTAAAGACCTATATGCCCAATAACTAAGTAGGATATGTATGACTTAAACCTCCTTCATAATCTGATCTCGGCATAACTTATGTACAATCTTTGTAACTCTCTTATAACTAAAACAAAATTTCTTATTTTTAAAAGCAATATAAAAATCAAAGCGGACTTAACTCATAGCTTTGTGTTTTCAAAAGCCTCATTTTTCACTATGATAGATGAAATGTTTCTCAGAAAAAATTCAACTAAATATGATAAATGCAATGTTCCTTCAAAAAAATTAACTATTATTATACGACTCAAGATCTTATCTATCTAAATTGAGTTCATAAATGCTAAATAATAAACGAATGTAAGTTTCAAAGAGCAGATTTATTTCATAAGATGCACAAAAAATAAATAAAAACCCATTTGAGATGAGAAAAGTATTTATTACAAGAAATATAAAATGAAAGCACGAGGACTTGAACTTACAACTTTTTGTTTTCAAAAGCCTCACTTTTCAATGTGATAGATGAAATGTTCCTCGGAAAAAATTCAAGTGAACATTTATATTCTATGACTCAAGGTCTTTCCTATCTAAAGTGAGTTGATAAAGGTTAAATAACAAATGGAGTGTGTTTCAAAAAGCAAGTTCATTCCATATCCGGACACTTTCATACTCTAAACATGATAGTCATGTGGTGATAGAATCATAAAACAATAAATAGTAATTCATTCGAGGTGAGGAAATTAGTGAGTACGATGCTCTATAGTGGAAGCACCCATGTTCATCAATCAATAGAGTGCTTTAGTGCTTCAGCTTAATTGGGCCACGTAATTGAATCAGTCTTATTATGCTTTTTGTGGTGATCATTTTACAAGACCATTATGCAAAGTCTATTATTGAATGGCAGCTATGCTATTTTTGAAATTAACTATACACAAAGAAAGAAATTAATTAAACTCTTACGAGAAACTAAGTAGACTAATGACATAGTATTATCTTAAGCATCTCATCTTTATTGTCCTTATGACATTGTGACTTTTACCATCAATCTGGCCTCTACAGCATAACTTTCCCACTAGTTTATAACTCACCCATTACCGCATAACTTTTCTGACAAGTTCCTTTTAGATCCATGATCATATCTTGAAAAACTACTAACTCGAGTCACTTACTCTGACAACTTGTTAACTAGTAGCAGCCTTCAATAGCTTCTTAAGTAGAAAGGAACTACATGCAACAATATTTGATTCAAAACAATTGACTTATCCATATACATAATTTGCACGATAGAGATTACAAGCAACAAAATTGATGAAAGAAATTATTACTATATGTAGGTGCTACAACAAAATATGATTGGAAGGAAGCCAAAGATAAATATCCTTACATGCTACCTGGATTAGGGCCTAAGTGATAGAAAGGAAAAGAAGCAAATAAATTGGTACAGACAAGACTTCAAACCTTCCATAACCCGTATCAGTGGTATCCTCTATAAAATGGTACAACCATGCAAAGAAAGACTTTAAATCATCAATTCACAACACCGGTACTTTCTTCTGTGTCTGGTCCTGTATCCAAATAGAAGAGAGCAATCGGGTTAGAAACTTATTACTCAGACCCATTGTAACCCTTCCACAATAATAAGCAATTAAAAAGGTGTATAATGAATGTGGATTTTAAGTTTAACCCAACTACGGATTTGAATGTCAAATCTATACATACATGCAGAATACCGAACAACTCTCAAAATGAAATTCAGGTAACTGTACTATTCTACTCAGCCAATGCTAGCGACAAATACAGCTGGACGAGGCAGATACAACAAGTTGAACAAACAGAAATGTATATTGTATAACTTCAATCTCATGTACCATGGCTAATGACTCTAGATAGGTGAAATACTTATAAGTTTCCAAATCAAAACAACTTCAGAGTATTAACACATGTAAAACTGTAGAATCCAATCCATTTCGCATAGCAACATAACTAAGCCAAATTTTAACTTATTTCTACCTCAAGGAACTTTTCTAATTAAAATAAGTTTAAATCCTTTCACTTCATATGAACAAAAAAGTACAACCTAATAACAATAATGCTTTCTTTCGACAAAAAAAAAAAAAAAAAAACTATAATGCTTCACAAATAAGTTCATAACAAAACTAAATAATTGTGAGACGTGGAAAAACTAATTGTCAAATTCATTAAATATTTCATTCTACATGTTCAAAAGTTTATCCAAACTAACTCGTATCTAAAATTCAATGTCCAAGATTTTACAATAGAAAGCAACCACAATTGTGTAACCACAGTGCCATCAGTTTTATGTTTCCACAACCACAAATGTATCACCCAAATTTTATCACACTTTTCCACAATATCAAGGACTGAAATGCAGCCGAAACCACAACTTAAAACTTTGGCTAGGTTTATGATTATAGCTCAACAATACTATACATTTGGAAAACAACAATGAACAATTCAAGATGAAACAATAAGACATTTACGACAGTTAACTATATCATCATAATATAAAGGAAATCTCAGATGAAACTATCAATTTTTATTGGACATTTCTTTGCATAAACTTTCCCTTACCTAGTTTTTGTCTTTTAAGTTTAAATGTCAAAACACACAATATGAATATTAGTGTTATCAAATAGGGCGCTATGGCCGCTATGACAGATATACATGGCAGTTTTGGGGCTCGCCGCAATGGTAAATATTGGTCAATATTGTGGGTTTATCCGCCATAATCCTCTATAATGGCGCCACAAAGCGGCCGGTATGGCAGGATTTTGCCTCTCCTCCATGGACGACAGTGATGAATATAACCTTAGATTTGGATAAGTTCATATAATATAGATTTATTAAACTGAAGCAAACAAGTTAAATTGAACTAAACATTCAACAATAGAAAATGTATACCAGAAAAAAACACAATTCCTTTTGTAACAATAATGATTTACCTTCTTGGTCATCCTCTACTACTTCTTCGACAATGTCACCCTCTTCTTCATCATAGTCACCATCATCTTGATCACCGAACCCATACCTGTTATTCAAATAATCCACAGCACCCGGAGTAAGCACAATCTTATCAGCATTCAAAACATCATACAAATTGAGCGTCCTCGGCGTCAATATCTTCAAAGTCCCAATATTCCTACTAGCAAGCAACACTTTCTCCGAAACCTCCGTCATCAGAAACGCAGCTTTCTCCTTCGGATCCAGTCCCCATCTCTTCATAGCCGCAATGAAATCCTTCGTTTTTGGATTCCCCTCAAACTCCGCCCCAAATTCCTCCACCACGACAGTATTCACAGCCGCACTCGCCACAGCAGTCGATATCGCAAGCCTCTTCTCCTTCTTATTCATCTTGATACTCCAATCACGTGGCTTCGGACCGAAAATCACACCTCCGCCTGGTCGGAGCGGCGTACGAATAGAACCCTGACGCGCGCGGCCGGTTTTCTTCTGCCCGTAGGGTTTTCGGCCACCACCTCTAACTTCAGCGCGGGTGAGCGTGGAAGCGGTACCACGACGCTTGTTTTGAAGGTCATGAACAATGGCGCGGTGGACGACGGCGCGGGAGGTGTCTGGTGTAGCGGATTTGATGTCGAGGGTGGTTTCGCCGACTTTGTCGCCGGAGAAGGAGAGGAGAGGAAGCGTGGCGACTTTGCAAGAGATTGAAAGAGAAGTTGAATGTGAATTTGAATTTGGGAGGAATTTGAATTTGGTGTGAATTAGGGTTTTTGAAGCATTAGAGATGAAGATTGAAGAAGAGAAGAAAGATAGAGAAGTTGAAGTTGGTGTTAGTGTGGAGAGTGAAGCCATTTTGAGTTCAGTGGAAAAAAACTCAGAATTTGCTTTCTCTGCTTCTATTCTATTCTATCCTATCCCTTCAAAATTGATTGGTTTTGGTAAGCTTTTTTTTTCTCTACTTTTTTTATTCTCAAACAAAATTATTTATGTTTTTTTTAAAATGAACTTTTTGTAGGAATTATTTAAATTCAAGGTATTATAAAAGTTACACCACAAAATTTACCATTCTCTTCCTTCTGTCCACTTTCATCACATGATCTCTCTCATTGATTTATGCTTATACCATCAACATTTGTTTGGATTCAGATATCAAACTTCAAAAACAACTATCTTTTTCTCTACTTGTCTGTAAGTGCATCCCTTAACCTTTTATTTTGCTTCACTTTTATGTTCTTTTCCCTTACTGCATAAATCGATTCTGCTCAAACAACATCAACCGTTTTTGCTTCAAACATTGTTTTCGGTTTAAGATATTTTGTTCTATCTTTAATGCATAAAATTATTTTGTTCAAAATACATCAAACGAAGAAGATGATGGAGATTTGCTTATGGATTTTAGTTTCGATTTCAAGCGAAAAATGTTTGGGTCTGAAATTATAAAGATATATATTTTAATGAAATTAAAATGAGTGAGAGTAAGGGTGTGCATTGTTTTAAAACCAAATTAAATTGAATTAAATATATGAATTATTTTGATTTTTAAAACAATTTTTATAAAATTGGTTTATTTTTTCATTTTCAAAACTAATTTATGTTTGGATCGAAAAAATTAATTAATTTTCAATCAGAAAAATCAAAATTGAGTAATTACAAAATACCCAATCTCTCTCACGTACATATTATTTTTTCTCATTTATATAAAAATCTTTTTTTTTATCTTTTCAAGAAAATGCTCTCTATATATTATTTTATACTTATCATTTTTTTAACTCTACCGTCATCACTTTAGTGGAAACGATTTTTAAGAAAAAACATATTAGTTTAATAATTGAATTAATTCAAGGTAAAAAGCATACAAAAACAATTTAGTAATCATATAATTTTAATCTAATAATAAACATTTAAAATGTGAGATGAAAAACTAAATGCATCATTATCAGAATATGAGAACACAAAGTTCTCTTAAAAAAAGTATATATATATATATATATATATATGTGTGTGAAAGTTTTATTTATTACATATACAATACCTTAATTGTCATTTATAACCATTAAACAGAAACAAAATAAAGAGCATATTAGGTTTGAAAAATGGACTAATCATTTATATATTGGTTTTAAAAAGTGGGCACTAATTTTCAATAGTTTTAATAAAATGAATTTGGATTAGTTTTTAAACCAAATAATATGGACTTTTGAAATAGATTCACTCTATTTTTAAGTTTGGTTCTTGTGAACCAGTTTTTTCCGCGCCCGCAAGTGAGAGGATAAAATGCATTATATTTGATAAAATGTCAATGTATTTGATAAAATGTCAATATATTTGATTCTCAATATCATTTTTTATGACCTTTCAAAGTGTTTTTGTATTCTGCATACAAATCAATTTATTGCCCTCTTTTAGATGACGATTTACCTATTTTGTATCATTGATCATTATTATTTCACATTTGCGTATTTTATCATTTATGCTTTAAAATTTGACAAAATAAAGTTTATTGTTGAAGAGGATAAGTTTCATACTTCAAATAAAATAATATATTCACTTTATTTGAAGAGATATACATTGGAATTGTCATTTTTTTTCATGTTTCTATGTGATTTTGACATAGTTAATGCGAAAACTATAATGTCAAAATTTTGCCATATATCATATTGAACACACTTTAGCATCAGTCCGTGAATATATAAATTTATTTTGATATCAACATGTGAAACGCTAAATATTGCTTCATTTAACTTTGTGTCCTATATTAAAGAATAACTATAACAAAAATTTGCATTTTGCTTGATTTTTCTCCTGCGTGGAAATTTCTCTTGATTTATCTCATGCTTGATACTTCTCATGTGTTGTCTAATTTAACTAACCAACCTCAAGAAAGATGGTTATCTATTTTTTATTTAAATATGTCATGACTTTATGATGGTTTTCTGTATAATGGCATAGTTATTGGAATGAGCTACATTTTACTTCATGATCCTACTGCATTTATTTAAGCCAACCAAGCAAATTGCTCTTGGATTTCATGACTAATTTCATTAATAGTTATGCTTATCCAAATTGTATATTAATATCAATTTCTAAAACACCATAAATTGTCGCATATAAGACAGTTTCACCGTCTCTTTTACGATCACGTACCTATAACACAATTAGGATAGTATATATTACCTATTGGTTTAGAGTTGTGTCATGGAAGTTCTAAATTTTCAACTACATTTACCTTGATAGATTTTTGTTTGTCATGTAGGTTTCTTTATCAAACCCTACTTTTTTGTCCACGTTTGGATTGGTTTTGTAAAAACGCGGCCATTTATACAAATTTAAGTCTTACTATATCTTATACATCATCAAACACACAAACCTACTTAGTTAATCCTCAAAATAATCCTACTGAGTCGACTCAACAGACTTTAGACCAAAACTAACTAGTTAGCTTTAATGGTCATGGTGATTATGGTTGCAATGGACGTAACAGTGAAGTGCACATCCAAGGGGGCAAGAAATTTTAACAAAAAACTTCCATTTGATATCATTGCTTTAAGTGTGGCTATATTTCATCCATCTCGTAGGATGAGTCAAGTGTATCATCGTATGGTCCATTGTATCCTAATTAATCATGGTCCACTCCAAGCTCCTTTTACACAAGAGTTCCAACTCTATGTCATCACTCAAAACCTCTACCATTGTTTTACTTTTCTTGGAGAATTTTGGCCCTCAATATCATGTTCTTTATCCCTAAATGTCTTTACTTGACATGCCTCAAATTATGATACGTTTCATGAACACTACACATATGTCTCCTTTGATTCTTGCACAAGTTCACTCTCCTCAGGTAGAGTAGAGTATATTCCTTCTTCATAATCCTAACACACAACTCACGTCACGACATCTAAAGCTATATATCTCAACTCTAATGTCATTGGATCTACAAGTTTGTATACAGACTGTGGTGCATTACATCATGTGACATCTTATGGTATCAACACCAAATAATGTTCCCCCTTTGAAAGTTTAAATCAAGTCTTCATTGGCAATGAACAAGGTTTGTGTGTATCTTACTTTGGCTCATCTAAATTCAAATCACCAATACATTGTACACTCATACTCACACCTCATAACTTACTTTATGTATCTAAGATCACAACATATATTTCAAGTGTGAGCAAATTTTCCAAAGATAACAAGGTTTTCTTTGAGTTCTATCCTGACATATGCCTTGCCAAATCACAGACTACTAAGGAAGTGTTAATTCGAGAGAAACTAGGCAATGATGGCCTCTAAGTGTTTCCTAATCTACTTATCCATCATTAACACTTACAGTATGTTCCATTTCTACTACAACATCTATTGTTAATTGTGGTTTGAATAAAAGTAGTTATTATGACTCCTTATGACACAATAGGCTTGTACATCCTTATTTTGAAATCCAAAAGATTGTGCTAAAGAAATCTAATATTCCTTTGCAAATTATCCTCAGACAATAAGTGAGCAAATTACCATAAAGCTTTGCCAGAGACAATGAACCTAAATTAGATGAACGGTTGGCCTTCTTAATCAAAATTTCATTTATAGAATCCTTGCTTGCTTGAACTTTAGTTCTTGACCTTTTTGGAATTAGGGGGTGGTGACTCAAAATCAACAAACGGTTGCTTGCTCCTCTGCTTGTCAAAGTCCCACGATTGCCATGATCATGTGTCATGATGATGATGAAGCGGTGATAATGAGATGAATTTGGATGATAGATAATGAAGAATGATGGATGAAAATGACTTTTAATGTTTGCTCAAGTTATGATTTTTATTGATCAAAGGAAAAAGAATGATGAAATGAGGTTTGGGAAAATGAAAGAGATGAAAAGACAAGTGAATAACATAACCTTTCAGATATGATTCATATCAAGTCTGTAATTTGATTCAAATCAAATTGAGCATATTAGAAACCCACAAAAAATGATTCAGATCACGGGCTATGTGTAAAGATTTTGATTCGAATCAAAGTTATACGCCTTAAGTCCCAGGAAATTGTTCAGATCGCGGGTTTAGCTCAAAAAAATTTATTCAAATCAAAATTCTCTTTCACATATTCTCTTTTCTTCGAATTTATTACTTACAATGGTATTTTACCTCCCTAATTCTTCCCTTTTCTTCCAAAACCCTAATTCTCTTTTCTTCCCAATTCACTTTCACATATTCTTTTTCTTTCAAATCATTTTGTGGACAAATCATCTTATAATCAATGTGTGGTTGAATCACTCAAGTGAAGAGTGAGGAACGAGAAGAATGATCGATAAAAATGATTGATTCTCGTTCAATCAAGATTGATTCTTATTATAAGTACTCAGGCTCTGTTTGATAAGTCGCAATTTTGAGCTTATAGCTTATAAGCATATGACAATTTAGAACTGTTTGGTAACTGTCTTTTTTATCATGAGCTTATAGCTTATTTACTAACTTATAGTTAATTTTTCATCCGCAATTTCAAATATCGTTTTAGCTTATAGCTTATCATCTTTTCTTTCATTTTTATCCTTATTATTTTAACAAAAACTCTCTTTTATCCTTTATAATTTATTTTAGTTTAAAATAAAATATATATATATAAATATCTTTTATGTCAGTTTACGTTTATAAGTTAGTTGAATAGTTAATTTTATCAAACACTTCAATTAGCTTATCGGTTATTAGTCATCAATCATCAGCTATAAGGTATAAGCTATCAGTCATCAGCCATCAACCATAAGTCATAAGCTAGCTTATCAGTCAACCGTTATTTTTACTAAACAAAGCCTCAATTGATAACTCTTGCATATAAAGATAACTCTTAGCTGAAACTCTGACTCAAGTAAT